CTGTTGAGTTTGTTATTCAGAGTTTCTGCAGGTCTTAAGAAGGTCTTAAACTATTAATTCACAATTTTAAATCGGAGCAGAAAGTCTACGATTCAAAGTCAAGTTGCATGCCTTGCAAAAATAATATCTTCCTCAGTATTTTTCTGGTACAAATACCTAAACATCCTTAAATCAAGATACATTTACATGAGATGCAAAATGAAGAAATTAAGTCTCGTTTTCTGAGAATTTAAATTTGCGTATAAAATAAGAACAAATGTCAATGGTGTGTAAAAATTACTTTTTGCATTTGAATTAAGTTGATTTTTCTCTTTATTCTTTATTCATTTTGATCAGTTTCACAGAAAACTTCTTATGTCATTTTGCTTCTCAATTAAATGTATCTTAATGTAAATGTAGCTTAATGTAAGGATCTTTTGACATTTGCACTGGAAAACAACACAGAAATGCTGAGGAAGAAAATCACTTTTTTTGCAGTGTGATTAGAAGGTACAGTAAAAGTGGTTGGAAGGAAAGCTATAAAGTTATTTTTTATAATTTTTTTTATTCTTATTTTTATTTTTTTTAATACACTTGCAAACATGTTGTTGACAGATTGTTTTGCTCAATTTATTCCTTAATTTTTTTTACTTAGTCTTAAAAAGGTCTTTAAATGTAAACTTACATTCATAAAACCAGCATAAATCCTGGTTACCGGTCTCTCTCTCTCTCTCTCTCTCTCTCTCTCTCTCTCTCTCTCTTTAAAACTGATCTTTAGGATTGAATGTGCGTAAATGATGAAATCAATGTCAATTGTTCTGCAATAGGGAGACATGTAAGAGAGTAGCTATAGAAGACACTGGAGATTTCTCCCATGCTCCCAATAATTTCCAAAAAAACGTACATGGTTGCTACAGTTTCTTTAATCTGATGCCATCTGTTGGCTTCAGGTTTAGAGTTGTCTTTAGTTGAGCATATATGTACAGTACATTTACATAAAGCTGCATATGCCTGGCATCCACCTAAACCTCACCAATGAGACCGGATCCCCATCCCGCTGCAGTCATAAGGGCGGTGCTTTATCTTCGCTTTTCCAGCTGTAATAAACGGCAAGAGCTCCATCAAGCTCTCTAAATATCATTCTCAGTTCGATTCTTGTTTATATTACTCGGATGAGTGAGCGAGCGACGAGCCTTCTGACCTTCTCAGTCGATCTGACTCTTCTAGTTGGCTCTGAGATAGACTGAAAGGAAGGAGGTTAATTACATTTCCATTTTTTGACCCACTTTCTTCCAGGTGTTTTACGTTGTTTGATGCATTGACTCGAGCCGGCGCGTAATGCGTGCTCTGACTCGAACGGACCTCTGGCAGGATGATGTAAAGCAAACATTCCTCCCTGCTTTGATTGGCATCTGTTTTTTCTGTGGCAGTATGGTCACCATTACTCCTGCCGTCACATTACCCTAAATCTGTAACAGACACGCATTGAGGATTATGTAAGCAGCAGGTTTTTGGCAAATGGTGCATTTCACAAGATCAGATCATTGTGTATGTTGTGGATGGCCTGCAGTCTTTTCTGTCCTTTTCTAATATAGACCTCAAAACAGCGTTTTTGGTTTCTGCTGCAGTCTGAAGGTTTGTAAAATGAAAAACATTGACGTTTCTTGGCATTTATAGCCCATGGATTGGTTTCTATTAAAACTAACAAATTTAACCAACTTTTTTTGTGTGTGTTATGGGATTGTCGACAGGTATTTAATTAGGCTGCTGTCCCTTTAAGACCGAATTAATGTAATATACTGACACATATCCGGTTTTCACCCACCTGTTTATGTTCAGCTTAAGCCATAACCTACTGTATTTGCGTGAGATACTCCACATGATGGAGATTTTGACAGCTGTGTGTGTATTTGACAATAAAGGCGCAAGGAGAACTGATCGCAGAACTGGGATCACGTGGCCGAGAGAGTGCTTCTGGTGTCATTCAGCGTGAATCCGCCTATCTATCCCATCTTCACTTACTGCAATCGATAACAAATTGTGATTGGATGGTAATTTTGTCCTATAACAAGCTTGGTTACCTTTGATTAGGCTTTTCTCGTGTGACAGAACACTTCTACTACTTGCTCTGATCACCCAGTCGTAAAGAAATTTTGAAATACGGGATTAAAACTGGCTTGGAAACTTTTTGCCTTGCCCGCATTTATATTCCCTACTTTTCACATGGCTTTTATGTAGTTTTTATTGTCTTTTGTCCCAGGCCCAAATTCTGACTTTCAATTTTTAGATATGTAAAAATAGGGTGACCAGATTTCTGGATCACGTGGCCGAGAGAGTGCTTCTGGTGTCATTCAGCGTGAATCCGCCTATCTATCCCATCTTCACTTACTGCAATCGATAACAAATTGTGATTGGATGGTAATTTTGTCCTATAACAAGCTTGGTTACCTTTGATTAGGCTTTTCTCGTGTGACAGAACACTTCTACTACTTGCTCTGATCACCCAGTCATAAAGAAATTTGGAAATACGGGACAAAACATAATAAGTCGGGACACTAAAAATAGAGCTGAAATACGGAACTGTCCCGGGAAAAACAGGACGTCTGGTCACGCTATGTAAAAACCATCATAAAACTACACATTTTTAAAACCATGACGATGCAAACACAGAAGAGAAATCAACACAGTCTTTAAGTGTTGATTGTGAAAAAGATTTATGTCAATTAAATGCAAATTACAAACTTAATGTGCGGTTACATTTACCTTTGTTTTGCAAATTTTCGTGGGCGAAATCCAGTCATTTTAATAGGAATCCACGCAGTTGGGAATTTCGCTTAAGGGTGAAACATTTCCAATGTAGATTTGCATCAGGTTCAAGTTGGTTACCCAGATTTGCCCAGTTGACCAACAGAAAGCTGCTTAGTTTGAAAGTGTTTTGTGTGAGCTGTGCTTCATACATCTCTACACTATTGACAATAGACAATGAACATTTTTGGTTTGCGAAATTTAGCATAAATTTTACTCATTTGATTGTACATTTAGTCCATACCAACAGTTTTTCTGTCAGTCTGCTTGTTTACTAAGGATTGTAAATGAAGGGCTTGAAATGAAATGTGAGGCGTGATGAACAAAGAAAACAAATACAAATCTATGTAAATATAACTTTTAAGCAGAATATTTTTTTCTTAATGTGTGTCATTTCAAAAATTCAAATTGAGCCATCATTTTGTCAAATGATGTGAAAAATGTAAATTATTTTGTTGTAATTGGATTGCACTAACTATAAAATTAACCTATGCAAGACAAACAAGTTTGGCCATTTGATCAAATGTGACAATTTTTTAGTTTCAAAATATGTGGTTCAGAAAAATGACAGAATTGTCCTGTAATACAGTGTGAATAGTATTTATTTCCTGAAAGTCCACTGGGCCAAAATGCCACACTTGATTTGTATTTATGGCCAGTGACTTGCAGAAGCAAATACTACAATTTCCTGCCTAAAAATAAGATTTAAAGGGAATGTAAACCGGAAAAAGATAATAAAAATGATACGAGTTAACGGTTGAATAAGTAACTAGAGAACTATTCCACTAGTGATTTTGATGTTATAGTTCGTTGCTCTTGAAAATTGTAAATCTAGACAGAAATCACTCTGCCAGATCTGAGCGATTTACTGTAACATTCCTCTCATATTTCAATCATGACAACTCTCGGAAGATTTTAGCATGGTGATGGATATGACAATGTTAATGTATATGTCTTGGTGGAACAGATCTGCTACGCTGCTGCTGAATTGCTGCTGCTGTTGGTTATTGCGGTAGTTGTAGATTATTGCTGCTGCTGCAAGCAAGTACAGGAACTTGCTACTGCCAATGCATATGGCGATACGGTGCCATGAGTATTTAAGACATACTGCTGCTGCACAAATAGCATATAAAATAACCCCGTAGCAGATCTATACAGGTGGAGCTGGGGAAGGTGGAGGGTTTCAGAGAACTCTGAAAGCGCACTGCAGGAATCTCAAGTGAATGCTAGCCAGCCATATAAATGGAAGGCAGTAAGCTCATTGGCTGCATATGCAGCATGAACCAATCAGCTTGTGCCAAGTCGTTTAACTCTCAGAATGCGCCATCTAGAGTTTCATGACTGAACTATATATTTATTTAAGGTGGCTGAATCTGGCTAGTGCTAACATCACTTTAACAGTCCTGCCGTTTGGTGGGAAAGGGTTTGATTTGTGGCGTCTCATGAGCCAGTGGCTCCTAATTAGCGAGGCCTGTCATGTACGTGAGATGAATGTCTTTAAGGACCAGTCTTGGGCTTTAACTACCCTGATTGTTTGTGTTTGGAGACATTCAGCTTTATTCACAATGCTGGAATGGTCAATGGCTAAATGCACCATGTTCCCATTCCAGAGTGGGAACATCATAGACTCTATTCTCCTTGAATTCAAATCCGCCGGAGTAAAAGAAGCGATAAAGAGCACTTTTGTAACTAATGAATGTGTAGCAGAAGCAGCTCTGTTTTATTGGCCCGTATAAGTTTGAATGCTTCATAAGATAAACAGTTATTGTAGAGCACGACACGGTTTGCTGTAAAAGCTCCACTTTTCTCTTGGGAGGGAATGCATATTTTTGACCTGCGCTGACGTCAGAAATGACACTCTCCTTTTAAATATAGCTTACTTACTCTCAGCCTGAGAGACCAGATGCTGACATGTTTTATGGCATTGCACATGTTCAAAGTCACGAGGAGATTTCATGAGGTTCAAAGCTAATTAGCATTTACATAAAGTGTCTTGGCAATTAAAGACAGCATGAAACAACATTCGCAAGGCATTAAACAAAAATCAGCATTGTATTGTCCTTTACATGTATTTTATTTCTTCGGGATTTGTGGAAAGTGCAGTTTTCTATTATTGATAAATATTTTTCCCATGTTATTAAGCATACAAATGTTGTCTGTCTTGATATTTTCTGGAAATAGTTTTAATGGCTACTTTTGTCTTTTTTTCTGTCTAGGTGGAGGAGGAAAACGGAAAGGAAGAAGTAAAAAATGGAGGGAGATCCTTCGTTTCCCTCATATCAGTCAGTGCACAGAGTTGAGCAAAACCATTGGTAATGTATCAACACTTTGTGTGTCTTGTTTATACACTTCCTGTCATTTTCATGCTCCTTGTCAGCTGTGCTGTTGTTCTGGCCAAGTTGCTGTTCGCCATTGTTTAGCTGTCTCGGAGTTTACATTGCCATTGGCTTAATCCCAGTTTGCTTACAGTCTGAGAAATAGCATCTGAGATGAGAATTGGCGCGTCCCAAACTACATTAAGTTGAAAGTAGTATGTCAGAGGTGCCTGGATGCCATACTTGTCCCAGTGGAGTTGCAAAATATGTTTCCTTGCATGCTGTTTGGTCTAATATTGCACACAATCCCTTGAGCAACAGAAGAGGAGTGACTGTTATCCAACTTTTTCAATTTCATTTCAAAACTTAAGTCACCCCAGCAACAGTTTTCAAACTTTTTAATTTATGGAATACACACCAATTCTGTTCAATAGTTCTTAAGATTTTTAATGTTACTGAAATACAGTTAAACAAGTAATGTTGTGAAATATATTTACAATACTAAAATAGGAAGCAGTTATTTAAATGTATATCAATGTAATTCATTCTTGTGATGCAAAGATCATTTTTCAGCATTGTCACATGATTCTTCAGAAATCATTCTAATATGATGATTTGATGCTCAAGAAATATTTCTTCTTATTATCAATGTTGAAAACTGTTGTGTATTACTCACATTCATAGCACTCCAAAACTTTGACTTATTTCTTCTGCATAAGGTGTTTTGAAGAACTGTTTTTGTCCCTATAATGAAAGTCAGTGGTGTTCAAAACAGCGTTGGTCCCTACTGGCTTTCATTGTATGAACAATTTACCTTCTTTTATATACCATAATTAGTGGTCGACTGATATATCTCCAAGGCCGATATATCGGTCGATATTTGGCATTTTTCAAAAAATCTGCATCGGCCGATAAGTTTTTCTGTTTGGCCGATGTGTTCGAGGCTTTTATTTTGATGGAGCTGAGAACGGCAGCGCTCACATTCTCTCTCTTGTTTACTGTCGTTGTTAACAGTTCTGTCTAATACGGATAGAAGTCTGTTTAATAATCAGATAGAACGGTTAAACAAAGGAATTAATTTATACAAAAAGTATTATAAAGATTGCTTTTATATTATTAGTAATAGAAAGGCAGACATTATAATACTTTTTTCGTTTGCCGTCAGCATAAAGCAAATACGCATTAATATAATTTAAACAAATCTTTGAATGATTAATGAACATTTAATTTCACAAACCTTGCGAACTTAGTCGAATCCAGCTGTGAGATCTTGTGAAGTGGGCATTTTTATCCAGCACGATCACGTGTTCTCTGTGTGACGGTCGGTCCGTGTGAATTTAATGCTTTAAACTTTTAAACTCGTGATTCAAATTATGCTGCACTTTATGCATTTGCCCACTGTCATATTCATGTCATTTTCTCTGTGTGCTGTATGTAAAATGAGTGTTACCCTGGCTTTATTTGAAAAAATATGATTCCCAATGCACATAAACTTCCCAGAATACTGAGTGCCCTGTTGGTTACAGTGTTTACTTCCTTTTTAATTATATTTTTATTAAATATTTATTTATTTGTGAAAAATACTTTGTCATCTAAAGTATAAGTATGTTTATTTTACACATTTATTTTTGAATCCATTGTCAAATGATTTCAAATTTCTTAAATATTAATTAAAATTAAAAACAAATTATATCGGCTTTATATTGGCTATCGGCCCCCCTGCTTTCCAAGATATTGGCATCGGCTGTCAAAAAAACTATATCGGTTGACCACTATCCATAATACAGGTTTTGTAAAGACATGAGGTTGAGTAAATGATGAATTTTTCAGTTTTCTTTCTTTAAAAGTATGTCCCTTTCTATTAACCACATGGTATATAAACTGACTGGCCACTTTATTAGGTACACCTGTTCAACTGCTCTTTAACGCAAATATCTAATAAGCCAATCAAATGGCTGCAACTCAATGCATTTAGGCATGTAGACATGGTTGAGAAGACCGAGCATCAGAATGGGGAAGAAAGGTGATTTCGGTTTCAGAAACTATGAAAATCCGAAAAAAAGAGAAAATATCCAGTGGGTATCAGTTCTGTGAAAGAAAATACCGTGTTGGTGCCAGAGGGTCAGAGGAGAATGGCTAGACTGGTTCTGAGCTTATAGAAAGGCAACAGTAACTCAAATAACCACTCATTACAGCCAAGGTTTGCTGAAGAGCATCTCTGAACACACAGCAGACGGTCGACAACAGCTGAAGACCACACCGGGTGCCACTCCTGCCAGCTGAGAAAATAAAACTGAGGCTACAATTCACACAGGATCACCAAAATACAACAGAAGATTGGAGAAATGTTGCCTGGTCTGATGAGTCTTGGTTTTTGCTGCAATATTCTTGCAGCAAATATTCAATGTTCAGATGCTAGGGTCAGAATTTGGCATAAACGACATGAAAGCATGGATCCATCCTGCCTTCATAGTTCAGGCTGCTGCTGCTGCTGCTTGTGAGCAAACTTTAGGCCCCTTAGTACCAACTTGACATTGTTTAAACACCACAGCCTACCTGAATACTGTTTTTGAACATGTTCATCCCTTTATGACCACAGTTTGCCTATCGTGTGATGGCTACTTCCAGCAGGATAACGTCACAAAGCTCAAATCATCTCAGACTGGTTTCTTGAACATGACAATGAGTTCACTAAACTCAAATGTCCTCCACAGTCACCAGATCTCAATCCAATAGAGCAGCTTTGGCATTTGGTGGAACAGGAGATTGGCATCATGGATGTGCAGCCCACAAATCTGCAGCAACTGTGTGATGCTGTCATGTCAATAAAGACCAAAATCTGAGGAATGTCTGTAGCACATGGTTGAATCCATGACACAAAGTATTAGGCAGATGTAAATGCAAAAGGGGATCCAACCTGCTACTAGCAAGGTGTACCTAATATAGTGGCCTAATAAAGTATCACTGTATCACCACAGTACTTTTTTGTAAAGTTTTACCTGTTGTTTTGTGTCTCAGAGCGGGACTACTTCAGCCTGTGTGACAAGCAGCCCATCGGGAGACTTCTGTTCCGCCTCTACTGTGAGACCCGACCAGAGCTGCAGCGATCCATCCAACTCCTGGACGCCATGGTACGTCTGCACACACATGCACACCTCTCCAGCATGCAATGCACCTGAATTTATTTAGGATTGCCCAAACAGCTTTTAGTCACTAATTGCTGGTTCTTTCAAGCCATTCATCTTCTTTGAAAATCTATTGCCCACTCAAAATCTCTCAGGTTTCTTATAACCCTCCATCAATGTTCCACTGCCCTAGACAACATGCCTCCCACATGACTAGCTTGGGCTATCATGGAGTAAAGCCCAAAATATCAGGGCCGGCATGTGGTCTCTGAATGAGGCCATTGTCTGGTCTCTCCAACACCCCTATAGACCCCAAACAGTCTGACCCCTGGGAACCTGAACCCATGACAGGGAGTCGCCATCATAAAACATGGGGCAGCATATTTGTGTTTTTTAGGACTGGGAAAAGGTGTTCATCTTGTTTATGGTGTCTTGGAACGTTCTCCTTCTCATTTTAACAAAAACCCTTTGTGCGGTGTAGCTGTGTAAGTGAATAGGGAAGCTTTATTGATGTGTTTCAGGGAAGAACGTAAATGTCATTTGAAAGTCAAATAAAATAAAACCAAAATGTCCTTAACATAAAAGCACCGTAATCGTGCCTGGGTTACAATGTTACAGCTAATGAAATAAGAGCGTAAGATTTTTAGATAATGAAGGGAAAATGCCATGAGGGCGTGTGTTTAATTAAAATTATCATAGGAATCGTGTGGGATTTTATTAGTTGTTATTTTAGGAAGAGTAGCTGTCATTAAAGGTGCATAGGACCACTTATTTCTATTTAAATTATTCATAATTATAGTTCCTTGTTTGGAGAATTTACTTCAGAGTGAATCTCATGGAGACTGTGAAGTCATAATTAACCCTAAAATCAAAAGACAAGAAAATAAAATTATATTTTGCCTGAAGTAGACAAAGTTTATTTTAGAGCCACTAGAAAATAGTACCCCAAAATTCTTATTACGGTAGTGCCAAAAAATTATTCAAAAGTATTTTCTAAATGGCTGCATTTATTTTATCTAATTACAGTAAAAACAGTAATATTTTGAAAAATTATTACAATTTTAACATAGATGTTTTCTATTTGAATATATTTAAAAATGTAATTTATTCCTGTGATCAAAGCTGAATTTTCAGCATCATTACTCCAGTCTTCAGTGTCACATGATCCTTCAGAAATCATTCTGATTAGTGGTTCAAAGGATCACAAATCTCAAGATTCGGATCACATTACATTTTTTGACCCACGGATCGGATCATTTTTCGGATCAGCAAGAAAATAAAAATATTTCAATTTAACTTGCTTTCTATTTATTACTTAAAGTTGAAGTACTTCTTTGATACCACAGCAAATACTACTAGATTAACTAAGAAAGTTTAAACATGATTAAAGAGACAAGAGGACAGCCAGTAAAAATAAGAACAAATACACAAATTACAAGCATAGATAAATACAACAGAATATGTTACAAAAGAAGAGGATTCAGTTCGGTGTTCGCGCACCGTCTGAAACGCGTCTGCGCGCTTCATGTGTGTGCGGCTGTGCGCAAAGAGAACAGCGCACGAGTAACGAATCGAGTTCCCTTTCGCCTTTTCTCTCTGGAATTGTTTAAAATTTGCTTGCTTGTGTAAATACGAACAAATGATAAACTTATACTCGATTATGTTATCTATTATGGTTACATTTTGCAAATAATCCGCGGATCACATGCGTGCCGAACCGTGGGACTAACCACTAATTCTGATATGCTGATTTGCTGCTTAAGAAACATTTCTATTCCCCATTATTATAAATGTTGAAAATAAGCTGTGCTGCTTCATATTTTTGTATAAATCATGATTTTTTTCAAATTTACAGAATAAAAAGATGAATAGTTCAAAAGAACAGCCTTTATTTGGAATCAAAAATCTTTTGTAACATTTCAGACATTTTTGCTGTCACTTGTTCTCAATTTAATGCATCCTTGCTTTCAAAAAACAAAAATCTCCAAACTTTTGAACAGTGTATATCATCTAAATTACACATTTACATTTCATAATATTATTTGTTTTAGCTCCTTTTATGATGATTTTAATACAAAAATCATGGTGTGCAAACAGAATGGTTTCCATTACTGAACTGCAGTGAGATCTTGTTAAATAGTGAAAAGAGCTACAAACAAACTCGATTTCACAATTTCTTTTGATTTTTAGGGTGAAATATGGCCCCAGCGTCCTCTTGACAGCATCCCCTTTGTGAGATTCACCCAATTAATCTGTGTTCTCAAGAAGAATTAAAAAATTGCCCTTTATGACCTGGCATACATTCAAATCAGTTCAGGATTGGACTTTGAATAACAAATTGAATGTAAACACAGAGATGCATTGAACTGAAAATGCATGAGTGTGTTTGATGTATGTCTGCATATGTTCTGCAGGCAGCGAGCGTGTATGCGTGTGTTTGTGCGAGCCACCATAAGGAAAGAGCCCGGGGGATTTTTTGAGGCCTGCTTTGACGTCAGAAAGTAGCGGGATCTCAATTGTTGTGGCGAGATAGACAGCACTGTCTGTGTCTGCTCTGTGTGAGATCTCTGTGTGTGCGAAACAAGGAAAGAAGCACAAGAACTTCATGCGAGAAACCTCTTCACACGTTATTTGGGTTTGTGTGTACACAAAGACGAATGAAATGTGCATGCCACTGACCTTTTTGGTCCGGGTTTTGCTTTTCCATCTCGGTGGAGGCGGAATAGTCCGATGTTATCGCACACATCAGATTGGCCCAGTTCCCCTGTGTCAGAGGCAGCCCGCCATTTGTGTTGGCCTGGTGGCTCTACTGTACCATTCAGAGCCACTGACATAGGTCTGTTCTCAAACCACTATTATAATTGGATCTCTCTCTGTGTGTATGTGTATGTGTGTTTATATTTTCTGCTTTTTTCCATGCAGTGACCTTTAACATGCAGGCATAGCAAATTCCCCTGCAAATTCCATCATTTCCCATTCAAAAGATGCCAAGAGAGCAGAATTTAAATCTTGTCTCCTTTCTCAATGTCACTGTCATCTACAGTTGTAATGTGAGCGTAAAAATATGTATTCCAGGTTCAGTACAGGTTACTTCAGTCGGTCAGACAGTACAAGGACCACAAAAAAACATCAGCATGTACCGAGAAAAGAATCACTGCCACAGTAAAGAGCTAACAATAGAAGTGCTTGGAGCCGGGGAATAAATATGTGACCCTGGACCACAAAACCAGTCTTAAGTGTCAATTTTTCAAAATTGAGATTTATACATCATCTCAAACCTGGATAAATAAGCTTTCCATTGATTTATGGTTTGTTAGGATAGGACAATATTTGGTCGAGATACAATTATTTGAATATCTGGAATCTGAGGGTGCAAAAAAAATCAAAATATTGAGAAAATTGCCTTTAAATTTGTCCAAATTAAGTTCTTAGCAATGCATATTACTAATCAAAAATTAAGTTTGAATATATTTACAGTAGGAAATTTACAAAACATCTTGGAACATAATCTTTACTTAATATCCTAATGATTTTTGGCATAAAAGAAAAATCTATCATTTTGACCCATACAATGTTTTTTTTGGCTATTGCTACAAATATACCCCAGCGACTTAAGACTGCTTTTGTGCTCCAGGGTCACATATTACAATACACATTGTTTTATAAGTATAGCAACAAGACCTAAACATTATACATTCATTAAATGTGCGTAGACACATATTTATGTGTAAACCCTGTGTGTGAACGTTTTAATTTCTGCATGAATTTAGAATAACATTTATATCGAGCTACTCATTTTTTGTGTCTGTGGGAAATATATAATTGGACATACAATTATGCAATTAACACAATTTTAGTTTTTCAAAAATCTTTGCAAATACTGTAATAATCCAGTGTGCTTTTTCACAGTACTGTAATTGTTATTATTATTATTATTATTATTATTAAAGGGGTGATCTACCGGCTTTTTTCGAAGGCTTGATTGTGTTTATGGGGTGCACTGTAACGTGTTCACGCTTTGTTTTTAAAAAAATCACATTATTTTTCACATATTTTACCTTTATTCCACACTGCTTTTCCGTTCTTCTAAAAACGATCTGTTGACTTCCTGGCTCCTCCCCATTCGCAATGGGCTCAGATTGGTTAGCTGGCCCAGTGTGTTGGGATTCGCTAACCGCCTAGTGCAGGTTGTTTGAAAAACTAAAATTGTGTTAATTGTATAATTGTATGTCCAATTATATATTTCCTACTGACACAAAAAAGGAGTAGCTGGATATAAATGCTATTCTAGATTCATGCAGAAATGAAAACGTTCACACACAGGGTTTACACATAAATACGTGTCTACGCACATTTAATGAATGTATAATGTTTAGGTAAATATATATTTCATCTTATTAAAGTTACAAAAGTGATTTAGTCAAGAGCAATAAGATATTTCTCTTTTTTGTTGCTTAACATGAACGACAGACAGCAGGAATATTAGACTGCTGTCACTTTAAGAGCTGCCCGATCCAATATACTGTTACACATGTGTTTTCTTTCACAGCTGTTTGCTCTCACTTAAGACCTAAATTACTGTGTTTACAAGAATACTTGCAAATACCAGCATTTGACACATACGTGTGTGTATTTAACCATTAAAGGGCTATAAAGAGGCAAAAATAAGTCCATTCAATACCCCTGCGCTCTATGATCACCGTCATCACGTGCTCGCACCTCTCTGACAGCGAACGCATATAGCGAAATTAGTTCTCTTTCGCTGCGGATTGTGTTTCAGCGGCTTAAAATCACTTGTTTTTAAACAACAATGCTTAAAATAGCATGCAAACAGTAAGTTTTTGAGACCACGTAGCACAGCAATGTCACGTAAGCGTGTAACCACGATAGAGGCAATAGTCCAAAATCTCTTTTTGACAAATTCTACCGGTTAATCGTGTCTACCGGTATATCACCCACCACTATGATGAACACATTTATTTTTAGGCTTTTATTCAGATATAAACATAGATCAACACACATACACAGAGCACGTCGAATATGGTAAACAAGGCTCAAACATGCTTGCTTGACAAGCAAAAACCAATCAGGTTTGTTCTCTCGCATCACACAAGCATGTTTGAGCTTCCCCAATGAGTAATTGATGACAAATTAATAATTTTGGGGGGAACTTTTTTTCTTTAACTTAGGCACTATCTGCAGTTATTTCCATAGAACCAGCTTCTATTGAACTCTGAACATTCCGTGTAACATTCTTTTCTACTCACAGCACTATTTTAAATCTTCCAATGAAGGAATTGCCAAATGTGTTAAGCGGAATGGAAATCATACTGCTGCATGTGTCGAGACGCAGTGCCCGTGCGCACACACACAGTCCCCCACTATGTAATGACGTTCAATGTATTTAGTGACGCTGCTGGGCCATGCTGTGGCGCTCCAGGACCTTATGGAATCCAGCCGTGTTGACTGGCTGGTTACCAAGCAACCTGAAGTCACACACACGGTGGGCTTCATGAAGCATGTGTGTGTGTGCGCTCGAGAAGCATATGTGTGACGCGTGTGCGGACACATGATTTGTGCGAAAACCTATTTGCAGGTACATATGCTTCGGTGTAGGCGCGCGAGCTTGTTTTTACATCTTTCGGGAAGGAACCGAGTGGGGGCAGCTGGTCATGGAGAGTCTTGCGTAATGGGATCCACAGAGCACGAGGGCCGGAGAGGGTGTTGATGAGGGTGTCATCAAGCATTAACCCCCCCAATACACACACACATAGGCACATTTACGGCCCTTAGGGAAAGGACGTGCCAGACTGTGGAGCTCATTCATTGTGTAATCACTCACAGACTCAATTACACGATGCCTCTGCCTCATTCAGCATATAGAAATGGATACTGACTGAAATGGTGAAGTCAGTGGATGTAGTTTCTGTTTTCCAGTGTTGAACAAGTGATTTGAGTTCACTTAATACTCTGTCTGTCTCGGTTTCTTTAGTCTCGAGGTTTTTGAGTATTGGCGCAAAGTCTGGTCCAAATTAGCCTCACATTAGTTCTTTGACTAATACATAAAGTCTGGGCCACATTACAGCATATTCTAGGAATAAAGACCTACTTAGACAGGAAGACACTGTCTTCCTGTTCCTGTTCTTCCTGTTCCTTAATTTAACTTAATAACAATTTTCAAACAATTTCACAATCAAAATTTTAGTTATATAACAACACTGATTACCAGTTACGTTTATTATTGCTGAATTAAATGCATAGTTCATCTAAAAAGTTATAGTTCTGTCATAATTTACTCGCCCTCATGTCATTCCAAACCATACTGCATTGGCTTTCATTGTATAGACAAAATTGCAGAGACATATTTCAAAATATCTTCTTTTTTTTTTTGTGTGTGTGTGTATGGGCATATACATCTGAAATATCCTGAGTGATATGCTTATAATTCAGCACAAATCATTTTGATCTCAATGCTATGAACCTTAAAAACTTGGGAACGGCTATAAACCTTTTTCTTGGTGGACTGATTAAAAACCTGTGCTCCCTCACTCCCAGAAACTGCAATTTGCCATTTTTAAATGCAACATGCATCAGCCTGGCTCCTCAGGCTGGCTACTATTTCATTAACATCTAAATTAGATGCATTATGTCATAAGGTATCATGTATATTTTGGGTTATGTTATGGCTTGTTTATCTTAAAGTTCATTTATAACTTGTTGTGAGTAATTTGTTTGTATCTGGTCGTTTAGGAGGACTACGAGGTGGCACCTGATGAGAAGAGGAAGAGTCGAGGAGATGAGATCATCAAGAAGTTTCTCACCAAGCAGGTGTGATTTGGTTTAACTTTCCTGTTGTGTGTTTGTGTGTGTGTGTGTGTGTGTACTTGTTTATGCTACATTGTGGGGACCAAATGTCCCCACAAGGATAGTAAAACATGAAATTTTTGACATTGTGGGGCCTGGCCTGCGGTCCCCACAAGGGGAAAAAATGATTAAAAATAGTAAATTATGTTTATCTGAAAGTGTAACATTGCAAACAGGTTTTCTCTAAGGGGTAGGTTTAAGGTTAGGAGATAAAAAATATCGTTTGGTCAGTATAAAAGTAATAGAAGTCTAT